CGGAGGGGGTGCCCCAGCGGGTGTTCTGGCCACGCTCCACGCCCCGTCCCACACGAGTCCTGCAGGGGCCTGCCACCCACCCCGTCCTGGGCTTGGCTCTGCTCCAGCACCTTGGCTGTGGGGCTTCTGAGCAGGGACTGGATGGTGGAGACCCTGGGCCCCCAGGGGACCTCAAAGCTCACCTGCAGCTCCGTGTGTGCCCCTCACAGAGTGAAGACAAGGTCAAGGCCATTGCCAACCTGTACGGTCCCCTGATGGCACTGAACCACATGGTGCAACAGGACTACTTCCCCAAGGCCCTCGCTCCCCTGCTGCAGGCCTTCATGACCAAGTGAGTGTGTCCACGGCGGCGCCTGTGGTCCGAGGCTTCCCTGGCCGCCACTCGGCTTGTGAGAGGCCCTTGGGCCTCCCAGGCTCTTGGCATCCGTGTTGGGTCTCGCTTCTGTGTGACCACCACTCCTGAGGCCTCCTCCTCGGGCCCAGCTGAGGACACAGGACTCAGGGACAAAGCCTTTCCTTGCGAGAGACTGAGGACATAGCGCCCCATTTTCCAGAGGGGAAGCCCAGTCAGTTAGGAGCTTGCCCTCACCGGCGCTCGGCGACGTCCCTCCGAGCAATTCTGTGTCCACTCCCACAGCAGCCGAGGCCACGGGGCCTGGTCGTGCTGGCCCTGCACAGCCACCGGCCGTGAAAACCTTGGCCTTGGCCTGGAGGATCCTGGGGCTGGTGAGCGCTGGCCAGTCAAGTCATGAGGAGCCTCCAGGCCCTGTTGGGGCCCAGCATGGATGGGGGGTGGGCTGGTCCCCTGTCCTCCCGGAGGCCTCAAGCCTCAGTCTTCCCATATGACCAACCAAGGTTGTCTCCAAGGGCTCTGACCAGCCACACTGCGGGTGAATCCAGTGCCTTGGACAGTGGTGGGCAGGGGTGGGACGGGCCACCCCCACCGCGTGTGCATCCCCTTTGAAAGGTCACTATGAACTGAATCCGGGGTAGGGTTTCGGGTGGGGTTGAGTGAGACGAGGCTGGAGAGGTAAGTACAGCTTATTACCATTATCACGGGTCTTGAAGTCTGAAGCAGCATGGAATCAAGCAAGGATCTTAAAAAAGCAGCGACACCAGCAGATACGCCCCACTGGCTGCAGTGGAGAGAGGGGCTGGGGGAGATGAGGAGCTAGGGGACAGCGGAGAGCCGACGTTCTAACACCAGCCGCGTGTGGCCCTGAGCTCCACACGGTCAGCACACTGAGGGCTGAGAGGAACACTGCGTTCCACAGACGTAGCGAGAACACGGCAGTGCACAATACAGCAATAGTTTCATGTATTTCATTAATCTCATAGTAATTATATATTGAAAGGATAATATTTTGGATCCATTGGGCTAAATAAAATATGAAAATTAAAAAAAGAAAAGTCGTGAAAATTAGAAGAGTGGAGTCAGGCACATTTCTAGCCGCAAAAATGGCCCCACGCTCTGCTGCCACCTGAGCTCCCGACCCACAGGTGCCTTTCCCCACAGGCCCAACGGCGCCCTGGAGGCCTGCTCCTTCGCACGCCACAACCTGCTGCAGACGCTGTACAAGGTCTAGACCTGGACACGAGGCGGCCTCTCCTCGACCCTCAGCCTGGACCAGTGACGGGAAGGGACTCGGACGAAGGGCTCTGGCCGAGGCAGGGAGGGTCTGTGTTGCGTGTGTCGTGCTGGTCCCGAGTATGTGTGTCGGTGTGGTATGCGTGCCGGTGTGTGCTTCCTGTCGGGTTTGGGTTTTAACGTCTCCCTGCTGGGCTGGCCCTGGTCCGCTGGAGGGGAGCTGGCCCAGGAGAAAGGGCTGTGAGCTGCGAGCTGCGAGCTGCTCTGCCATTAAATTCACCGCCATCTGAGGGCACTCTGCTGGTCTGTGCCTCAGGCTCTGCCTGTGGCTGTTCCCACCACTTTGCCTTCCTTGCCCTCAGGCTGCACCAGCGCCTGGGGCTTTGCTGCCCACATGCTGTCCTCCCTCTGGGCTGTGGCTCGGCTGCGTTTCTCACTGCCTGGGCCTCTGCTTCCTGTCACCAAGCCCGGGCCCTGCAGCCACCGCAGTCCCCACCGTCCATCCCTGCTGTGCCGACCCCTCCCATGAGAGGCAGAGACGGCCCTGGGTGGAGCCCCGGGGTGGTCAGCAGAGGGTCAGACCCTGGTGCCGTGCCATGTGGACAAGACAAAAGCCAGTGGGCAGACACCGGAGGGTCCTGGAGTAGAAGATGCCCGGACGGTGCTGGCTCTGGACTCCGAGGAGATGTCAGTGACTGGCCTGGAGGGGCACCTGGACAGGCCCACACCTGTTCTCCAGCCTGGGGGGCGGGGGCGGGGGCGGGGGCCGGGCCCACTGCTGCCTGAGCTGCGTTACTGAGCTCTTAAAGGAAGGGGTGGGGGACTGGCCAGCGATGCCCTCAGCGTCCTGTGTTCCCTTCGTGCTGTGTGTCCGGGCTGTGCCTGAGGCTTCATAATAAAGTCGTGTGACAACAGCGGAGACTGAGAAGCTCTTCCCCTCACGGCCATTCGGGGCCTGCGTACCTGGCGCCCCACCTCCGCTGGAGGGGCAGTCGTTCCTGCCGAGGAGTCCCCGTGCCAGCCTCGGGTCATCACCTGGGGCAGGTCTCCCACCACAGCCCGATGCGTCCTCCATGTGGGCACGCCAGCGCCCTGACAGCCGAGTGGTGGTGCGAGGACCAGGCTTCAGCTCGGGGGCGCTGGGGGGTGGAGGGCTCCCCCTCAGGGCCTGTTTCACCTGCCGGGCTCCAGGCCACCCTCCCCTCCCCGAGCACAGCGCCGCGGGTCCCAGCATTGCCCCATCTGTGGGCCTGGCTGGGCTGGACACTGCTGACTTCACCACAGGCTCCGCTGTCTGCAGTCTGGATCCCCTGGGCTGGCCAGCAAGGTCACTGCACAGGGTCGGGCCTGGCTGAAGCCACTGAAGGGTGTTGGGCTGTGGGGCCTGGATGAGAGGACACCTCCCTGGAGGGTCTTTCCTGCCACATGTGGTGGAAGGACAGGCCCGCAGACCCTCCTTGCCTCATGCCTGGAGAGCAGGCACCCTGGGGTCCACTGGATGGGGAGCTCCTCTAGGTTTTCTGGGGGCAGGTTTTCCTACTGGCTATGGGCCACTCAGGTGACCCTCGCCAGGCGGGGGAGGAGCAGGGCAAGACCCCTGCCTCGGGAATGCTGGGCTCTGGAGCTGCCGGCTGCCTTTGGGGAGCCCCCAGGCCAGTGCAGGAGACCCACAATCGAGGCCCATCGTGGGGACAGTGGCGAGGGCAGGGATGCTCCAGAGTTAGGGATGCAAGAACTGAGTCTTGAGGTTCAAATAGAACCTCACAGGAGACATTGACAGGTGGAGAAATAGGCTCGAGGCTGAGTAGGGGCCTGTCCAAGGGTTCCTGGCCTGGCTGTCCTTTCCTCTCGGTCCCAGGGGTGCAGGCTCTGACTGCCCAGCCCCACTCATCTCAGGCCAGCTCAGCTGTGGGGACCCCCCACCCCCACCCCCCGCACCGGCTGCAGGTTCGGGAAAGCGCTGGGTCCTGAGAGCCCTAGCCAACCCTGAGATTGCAGAGGCTGCAAGTCCCTAAGCACCGTGATTGGGGGATCTGCAAGATCATAGAAGCCCTGGCCTGGGAGCCCCACGTGTGAAGGGCCTGCTCAGCACCGGGCTGTCCCCTCTAAAGGGAACACCACCTCTGGCTTGGAGCTAACCCACCAATCCCATTCTGAAACTCCAGCTAGGAAAGCCCAGGAAGTGTGGTCAGGGGTGCCCCTGGCCGCACATCCTGATGGCAGGAGCCAGTATCGGGGAAATGGGTCAGATGCGATGCGGGCCAGTGGAGGGTACACACGGTGAAAACGTGTCAGCTAGGTGGGAGCATTCCACGCACGCCACAGGTGAGTCTGCAGTGCTGAGTGAAGAAAAGCTCAGGGCGATGCAGTAGCATGTTAATGTGTGTTTAGGCGTCCGTATGTATGTGCGATGCTGTTATCAATGAAAGGGGCGCTAAACCGCATTCACAGTAGGACTTAGTCTGGGAAGGACGGGGGACAGGGTGGGGTGGAAGCACCAAGCACTCAAAGTGACCCAAGTCCATCCACCTCAGAGCCATATTCTTCAAGTGGAAATGGAACACAGGAGAGCAGCGTTTTGGACACACAAAAAGCTTAAAACATGGGACCTTGGCCTGTGTGATGGGAAAATACCATGGAAGTGAAGACAAGGTGAGAGAGTGGAAAGACCTGGCAACATGGGGAGCATAAAACAAGGACCCGTGTTGAGAATATACCGCCACTGTTGTGGAGTACTTACAGAGGGGATGCTGGAGGGCTATATGAAAATGAACACATTAAAAAACAGCATCACGGGTGAATCTCACAGACTACACGTTGAGTGAAGAAAGCCAGACATAAAGGGTGTGCACCGTGATTCCGTTGATAGGGGATTTGCTGAGTCAGATAGCACATGCAGAGGTTGTGTGTGATGTGGCTATTTCTGCTTAAACAAGAAACAAAAGCTTAGCTGGTGTCGCTCAGTGCTTGAGCCATGAGGCCAGTCCACAATTCCCGGTCAGGGCACATGCCCAGGTTTTGGGTTTGATTCCCAGTAGGGGGTGTGCAGAAGGCAGCTGATCAATGATTATCATCATTGATGTTTTTCTCTCTCCCCCTCTCCCTTACTCTCCGAAATCAATTAAAAAATATATGTTTAAAAATTAAGTCAATTAAAATAATGAAAAATGCAATTTCATGTTTGCTATGGTCTGGATGAACTATTGCATTTAAAAATGCAACGGTGTGCTCAATGGTTAGAGCATTAGCCCTTGAACCAAAGGGTTGCAGGTTTGAGCCCCAGCTATCTTTCTCTCTCCCCTTCTCCCCCTACCTTCTACTCTCTCGAAAATTCAATGGAAAAAATATTCAAGTGAGATTAACCTAAATAAATAAAAACACGTGCTTCCAAGAGGTAATTATTTGTATATTTTTTGCAACACCGTAGCAAAAACTTGGAAGTAACAGAAATTAATGGGTAAGTAAAGTTGATATATTTATACCAGGAAATACTACACAGCTGTCAAAATGAATGAGTATGACTAAGAATCAATTTGAATAGCTTACAATAATTTGATATTGAGTGGAAAAAAAACATTGCAGAATGCTGTATGTATGGTATTAAACAATGTAGGTAATGTTTAATCACAAACGGAACAGACAGAGTTAACCATTCTTAAGCACCTACTGTGTGCCAGGTGCCTAATTTAATGCCCACAGGAACCCACTGAGCTAGTTACTAATTAGGGTTTCTCCTCACAGAGTAGGAAACTGAGGCTCCGTGAGGCACAGCCCCACACAGGACCCCACAGCTGGAGGCCCCTCAGCCCCTCCAGGCCCCTCCCTGCCGGGCCGCCCTGGGACTTGGCTGCCCAGGCCCAGCCTTGAGGCCTGGGCCGGAATCCTGAGCTGGCGCTGGGCAGGAGGCCGTGTAACTCCAGCCGCTGCTCCCGCCCCTGCCCGCCCCTCCTTCACCTCAGCCTCTGCTGAGCTGCCCACAATGCCTCCCATTCAGCCCTGTCCCCACTGCCAGGCCTGCAGGCGGGGAGGGGGCTCCTGCCAGCATCCAGAAGGGACAGACGCAGCCTTTCCCCTGTGCTGCTGCTCTTCCAGGCTGGACTGCCCGGGAGACGGCATGGAGGGGTGAGTCTTTGGGCCCCGGGAGTCTGGGGGGCGGGGGCGGGTTTAGAGAAGCTGAGCGGCTGCAGTCAAGCTCCCCCCTCGCCCCCCCCCCGCCCACCCCGCCCCTCTCCAGCCTCTGGGATCTGCCTGGGCAGAGACTCCAAGGGTCGCCTCGAAATGGGTTCCAAGGAGGCAGGGAGGGGGCTTGTCCCTCAGGGGTCTGTCCCCTCCTCCAGGCCCCCCTCCCTGGTCCACCCTGAGCCTCAGCCTCGCCACAGACTGGGGGATGCCACCAGCCCCAAGGCCAGGCTGAGCCCTGAGACCCCAAGGAGAGTGAAAAACAGATGGTGACAAAGCAGTGAGTGGAAATGGGGGAGGCCCAGGGTGGAACGGAGTCCAGGGATCAGGACAGGCTGCTAGGGGCCCTGACAGAGCTGTAAACAGAAGGAAGAGCCGGTGCGTTAGGTGTTGCAGGTGAGGGGGGAGCTCTGGGCTTAGGGTGGGGGAGCCACACGCTGAACCTCAAGTGTTTGAGCAGATTCCCACTGGAACCAGGAGCGGGACTTGCCATCACAGGCAGCTGGGAGGTGCTGAGGGCTTTCAGCGGGGCTGTCAGGGCCCATCTGTACTTGGGAAAGTTCCCTTTGGGGGTGAGCGGAGCGTTGCGGAGGCAGGAGACACACTATGGCAGCGACTGTCCCCAGGAAGCAATAGGCAGTGGCTGACGTTGTGACATGAAGAGGTCCCAGTGGGTGACGGAGGAGTGGGGGTGGGGGTGGAGGGACAGATGGGGGACAGACAGGTCAGTGGATAGGCCTTGCCCAAAGCTCAGCCCTAATCCCAGACCCTCAGTTTCCCTTCCCAGTCCTGGCCAGCTAGTGACACTAAAATGAGAGGACAACAGGAAATAAACAGGAGAGGAGAGGGCTGAGCCACTGGCTCACCTGTCAGGTGGCTCTGACCAGCCTTTAAGGCTCCTCAAGGCTCTCAGACCCCATAATTCCTGGTCCCCCAAGTCTTACCCCACAACCTGGGCTGGACCTAAGCCCTCCCCTCTGGCTGGCAGCCTGTCTTCTTGAGGTGAGTGTCCTTATGCTCCCTGCCACCACGGGGGCTGCTTCTCCCTACACCTCCCACCTCGGCTGGGAGGTCCGGGCCTCCCTGGACTGGGAGCCTCCCTACAGCTGCACAGACTGAACCCAGAGGCGTTCTAGGATTTAGCAAGGCCTTGGTGCCCACAGGGCTGACAGCCAAAGGCAGGTGCCAGGTCACCTCTCTGAGCCTCCAGTGTAAAGCAGGGCTAACAACAGAACCTCTGCTGCGTGGGGGAGGGGGGAGATGACACCTTCCCTGGGGCCAAAGGACCAGAGCCTGGGCTCCGAGAGTGGACAATGTGGGCCCCTGGCCCCTGTGAACACGGGCTCTCCTTCTCTCTCCCAGTCCCCAAAGCATCTCCTCGGTCCTGCTGCTTTTTCTGCTGCTGCCCCTGGGCCCAACTGGGCACACAGCCGCCCAGCGCTGCCCACAGACCTGCGTCTGTGACAACTCCAGGCGGCATGTGGCCTGCCGGCACCAGAACCTCACTGAGGTGCCCAACGCCATCCCTGAGGTCAGCAGGGTGAGGGGGTGGGGGAGGATGGCAGGAGGACTCTGGCTGGCATGAGAGGACCTGCCACTGCCTGGCTGGGAGGAGACCTTGGAAAGTCACTTTTCCTTTCTGAGCCTCAGTCTTCACATCTGTAAAATGGGAATGATAATAAGCAACAACAAGATGACAAGCTATTAAAATCCTCTGTGATTGGCATAAGTAGTTGACCTATAAATATTGAATTAATTACAGACCCCGTGGCAGAGAACAGGAGATATATTGGAGGAAGATATGGTGTCTGCTCTAGAGACACAAGAAGTAGTGGGGACAAAAGTAAATGGGCATGCCCAGCCGGTGTGGCTCAGTGGTTGAGCGTCGACCTATGAACCAGGAGGTCACGGTTCGATTCCTGGTCAAGGCACATGCCTGGGTTGCAGGCTCGATTCCCAGTGTGGGCTGTGCAGTAGGCAGCCAATCGATAATTCTCATCATTGATGTTCTCTCTCTCTCTCTCTCTCGCCCTTCCTCTCTGAAATCAATAAAAATATTTTTAAAAAAAGAAAGTAAACAGGCAGTGATAATTCAATGCAAAAAGTGCCAGAGCTGGGGAGGCCCAGGTGGCTGGGGAGCAAGGCTCCCTGGAGGAGGTGTCAGGGAGCAGGAGGAGGAGAATGAGAGAGAGCTGAGGGGGAGGAAACGTGTCCAGGGGCACAGGCCGCACTGGTCCTTGTGGTGCTCAGTCTCGTCTCCCCTCCCCCTCAGCTGACCCAGCGGCTGGACCTCCAGGGCAACCTGCTGAAGGTGCTCGGCCCAGCCGCCTTCCAGGACCTGCCTTACCTGACCCACCTGGACCTGCGGCACTGCCAGGTGGAGCTGGTGGCCGAGGGTGCCTTCCGTGGCCTGGGCCGCCTGCTCTTCCTCAACCTGGCCTCCAACCGCCTGCGCGCACTGCCCCAGGAGGCGCTGGACGGGCTGGGCTCCCTGCGGCGGCTGGAGCTGGAGGGGAACCTGCTGGAGGAGCTGCGGCCCGGGACGTTCGGGGCGCTGGGCGCGCTGGTCACCCTCAACCTGGCACACAACGCCCTCGTCTACCTGCCCGCCATGGCCTTCCAGGGGCTGCTGCGCGCCCGCGGGCTGCGGCTGGCCCACAACGCGCTCAGCGTGCTGGCCCCCGAGGCGCTGGCCGGCCTGCCCGCCCTGCGCAGGCTCAGCCTGCACCACAACGAGCTGCAGGCCCTGCCCGGCGCGGCTCTGTCCCAGGCCCGCGGCCTGGCGCGCCTCGAGCTGGGCCACAACCCCTTCACCTACGCGGGCGAGGAGGACGGGCTGGCCCTGCCCGGCCTGCGGGAGCTGGTGCTGGACCACGGCGCCCTGCAGGCCCTGGACCCCCGCGCCTTCGCCCACTGCCCGCGCCTGCACACCCTGGACCTCCGCGGGAACCAGCTGGACACGCTGCCGCCGCTGCAGGGCCCGGGCCAGCTGCGCCGGCTGAGGCTGCAGGGGAACCCGCTGTGGTGCGGCTGCCAGGCCCGGCCCCTGCTCGAGTGGCTGGCGCGGGCGCGCGTGCGCTCCGATGGCGCGTGCCGGGGCCCCCGGCGCCTGCAGGGGGAGGCCCTGGACGCCCTGCGGCCCGCAGACCTGCGCTGCCCCGGGGACCCGGACGAGGACCCGGCCGAAAAAGAGGAGCCGGAAGCCGCGCGGCCCCGCGCCCCTCCCGGCCCCGCGGAGTAGGGCTATATCCATCCAGACTCTCTCAACAATTTTTCTTTATTTTACCTCACTTACAGCATTGGGCACCTGCGCGAAACTGACGCTGCCCTGCTATTTGTCTATGTAAAAGACAAACAGATTTTACCCATTGAGTGACTGTGGGGATACCCAGACCTGCGGAGTGCAACAAAATCTAACATGTACCGATATATCTGGAGCCATAAGAGACATGAAAGATAGTTCACAAAGGGACAACATCAAGATACGGTGGGCAA